ATGGGCAGAGGACCAGGGCCCATTGGCCCAGAGCCATGGTGGGCAGTGAACGGGGCAGTCGGTGCTCCTGTGGGGAGGCAGGGCATCTGCAGGTCAGCTGGCAGCACGTCTAGCTTTCTCTGGTTCTGAGTTAAAACTGGGTGGAAATTGGAGTGGAAATTGCAGAGGTGGTGGCCAATGACCGAGGGCTGACCACAGGAAGCTGGGCAGTGCAGGGTCTGCCTATGTCTGTTTACTCCATCTCATGACCTCTCCTGGGGAGAAGAGGTGTGCGCTTGCCAGACAGAGTGGCCTGTGTCCACCCTAACAAGGAATAAACCGGCAAAGGGGCTTCCCCAGGAAGGGACCTTGGGCTCGATGCTCAGTGGTGCCCGGGACAGGCCATGGTGCTGAGTGAACAGGGCCCAGCCGCTTACCAAGGGTTCTTTTGCAAGGACGCCTGTCCAGTCTCGGACCTAAGCTGACACTGGCACCACAGTGGCCACCACGGCCAAGGTCACTGTTTCAACCCCTGCTCACCCTCCTCAGTTTGCCTCAAGAACTCCCTGCCTCCTCTGGTCCCAGGGGCTGAGGAGCCGTGGTTAGGGTGCACATGCCTCCCCCCAGAACCACCCCCCAGCCAGAGCTGAGGCTAGCAGAGGCACCAAGCAGTCCTGGTAACCACACGACTCCAGGAAGGACCCCACACCCCTGAGGACATGCACCTGGCCAGGAAGCATGAGAGGGGCCTGGAGACACAGGTCAGCATTCAGTGTGGCTGGAACCGAGCCCAGGACCACTGTGGCTCCAGCTCAGGCCCAGGAAGCTCTGTGGGTCAAGCCTCTGGATGCCAACACGAGCACAAGGGGCCTGAGCTGTCCCTCTCGCCCCACGTCTCCCTTGCTGTTCCTACAGTGAGCCGAAGCAGGATCTGTGAACACGGGCAAGCCACGTCCTACCTCTGCGTCTCAAACACGCCAGCCTGTGGCCCTCATCGGCACACAGATTCCACGGCAAAGCTCCGCATTCCCAGATGCATGTCATGGTGGTGTTAGACTGAGAGGAGAAGGTCTCCTCTCGACGGGTGACCCAGCTTGGGGTCCAACGTGGAGAAACTTGGTGAACGTGTGTGAGAAACTTGAGACCAGGTGCAGTGGCCACGCCGTGATCTCACCCGCATGGGAGGCTGGGACAGCAGGATCACAAGTTCCAGGCCAAAATAAAAATAAAAAGGACTGGGGCTGCGGCTCAGGTAGCAGATGCCCAGGCTTAAGCCCCAGGGCAGAAAGTTAAACAGAGAGGGAGAGAGAAACCCAAGATGCCAAGCGTAGCTCTCAGAGCTGCCGTGCAGGGTGCAGGGGTAGACAAGGGGGCCGCTCTCTGGGCCCTCCAGCCCTCCAGCCCCTCAAGGGCTCCAGATGCCACCCTCACACATGGGTTGTGTCCAGCAAGCTTTTTACTTCTTTATGTTTTGGTTCTGGGGATTGAACCCAGGGGTACTGACCACTGAACCACGTCCCCAGCCCTTTTTGTTGTTTGAGACAGAGTCTCACTAAGTTGCTTGGGGCCTTGCTAAACTGCTGAGGCTGGCCTTGAACTCTCAATCCTCCTGCCTCAGCCTCTAGAGCCAGGGTCACAGGTGTGGCCACCACACCCGCTCAAGGTCGCACTTTAGAGGAGGAAGTGCTATGTTTCACTAAGCCTGGGAGGTGCCAGGGGCTCTTTCCTGGCTCTGCTTCACACCACCCTGCGTTCTTCTGACCCGTGCACCTGACTCTGGCATGAAGAATACCTGTGCTGCTCCTGAGCCATGGCTTGTAGGAAAGCTAGACCCAAAGCACAGACCCTCAGAGTGTCCTGCTGGGCGGGGCGGGGGCTCCGTCCTAGCTGAGGTGCTGCTCTGTCCTTAGGGGAGGCCCCCTGGGCACTGCAGGGTGACCCTTGTGCTCATGTGGGACGGGGGCGGGAGTCCTGTGACACAGTGGGTGCCAGAGCCCCAGACCTCCTGGGCCCCTCCCCTGTCCCACACCTGTCAGACCCAAGACCCTCAGATTCACAGCATGTCCCTGTGACCACTGTCCCCAGTCAAGGGGGCAAATAGGACAGGATGGCGTGTGTTCCGCAGCTGTGACCTGCCCTTGGGGACATTCCTGTGTCTGCTGAAACCTCAGTCCAAGTTCCCCACCCCCCGCATCCTGCTCATCTTACCATGTCTGCCCCGGGGCTGGGGGTCTGCCATCTGTGGCCAGCACCCACCCAGGGCCCTGCCAAGCCAGCAGGCAAAGGCAGTGAGCTGGGTGGAGACAGAGCCCTGCCTGACCCCTGGCCCTCCCGGGAGGTCAAGGGCAGGTTGTCTGCTGATGTCTCCAGCAGTCTGGGAAGTGGAAACCCCCAAGGTCAGCTGCACTTTGCAACACCAGGAGACCTCCAAGGGGCCAAGGGGCAAGATGGCCATGACCGCACTTCACAGGGGGACAGCCGAACCCAGGTGACTTCGTCCCCTCCAAGTCCCTGGAATCCTGTCTGCCCTGGTTCTGAGGACGGGGCTCAAGGGCACTTGAGGCCTGTACCAGGGCCGGGTGGTGCCTCTCAGACTCAAGGCAGGTGGCCAGGAGGGGTCAAAGCACAGCTGGAAAGAGTCCTGTGTCCGTGTGACTCTGGAATGCGGCTATCAGAGAGCAAATGGAGGCAACGCCAGGCCAGCAGCAGGTGCTGGGCACGGAGGGGGCACCTTCAGCAGCCCACCTGGCTGTGCAGTCAGGCACGGCTCACCCACCCTAGCCCTGCCTGAGGTCCCTGCAGACCCCTGAGGGGCTGGCCACAGGTGTCAATGGATAGGCAGGGGATCCCAGGACTGGCTTCCTGGGTGGGGTGCCCTGGATGGGAGGAGCAGTGTGCTGAGACACTGAGGCCATCCCACGTCCACCTGTTCGCTGTGCGGAGCTCACCTCACACAGAGCGCAGGGGCACTAGGGTGGCATGCAGCTCCGTCCCCCTGCGGCCCTCCGCTGGACAGCCTGGCATGGTGGCGGCCCTCATGCATGCTTTGCTGACACCCTGCCCAGTCCCAACTGCTGCCCGGCAAGGACGCCTGACGGGGAATGGAGAGTGGTTCAGTGGCAGAGACCTTGCCTGGCACCCACAGCCCCCTGGGTGCCATCCCCAGCAAGAGGAGGCCCATGCTATCCTGGGAGGAGGAGGCCCATGCAGTCCTGAGGGAGGAGGCCCACCTGGCCTGAGAGAGGAGGCCCACACTATACTGAGAGGAGGAGGCCCATGCTATCCTGCGGGGAGGAGGCCCACTCTGTCCTGAGGGAGGAGGGCCAGCTGTCCTGAGGGAGGAGGCCCACACTATCTTGAGGGGAGGAGGCCCATGCCATCCTGGGGGGAGGAGGCCCACTCTGTCCTGAGGGAGGAGGTCCACCCTGTCCTGAGGGAGGAGGCCCACCTGTCCTGAGGGAGGAGGCCCATGCTGTCCTAAAGGAAGAGACCCACCATGTCCTGAGGGAGGAGGCCTACCTGTCCTGAAGGAGGAGGCCCACTCAGTCCTGAGGGAGGAGGCCCACCCTGTCTTGAGGGAGGAGGCCCACCTATCCTGAGGGAGGAGGCCCATGCTGTCCTGGGGACAGGGCGTCTGCACTCTCTGTGAGGCTGGAGTGGGTGATGTTTTGGTGGTCCTCCCAGGGCCACTTGGAGTTGCAGCTGTTTGACTCGGCTTCCCCACCATCTGGGAGGGCCACCCCATCCTTTCCCCCACCAACAGACAGAGCACCCGATGTCCACAGCTCGGGCTGCCAGACGTGCGCTGCCCCTCCCGTGTGTGAGGGCTGGCCCTGGTTTTCTCTCCGCTCTGCGGTGGCCTTTGCCCCATAGTGCCCAAGGTGCCTCCTGGCTTCCTGGGATCTAGAACTGGGAGCCCTGCCTGGCTCAGCCAGCGGTGGGTGCACTCGCCCGGGAGGGTGGAAGGCCCCGCGTCTGCACAGGCAGAGGAGCAGGGGTGTGACTTGGTCCTCCTTCCTATCTATTTGAGCTGCTATGAGAGAGGTGCTGAGTTTTAAATTGTCTTGTCTGGAGCTTTAGAACTCCTGTCACTCCTCAGTCCATGTGAGGCCAGTCAATTGTTCCCTGTAGTCTGTACCTTGGGAGGGGAAAGAGTCTCTCAACAAACCTCCTCCAATTCCACCCCTAAAATTCAGCAGCAGGGTTCCTGCTGGCCCACTGTAGGTCCTGGTCTTTTCCTGGCCACTCCTAGTGCTGGGAGGTGGTGCAGGGGCAAGTGCCTTTGTCCACAGATGGTCGCTTATGGGGAGAGCGTCTGGGGCCAGTGGAGGGCCCATGGTGCTGTAGGGCCAAGGGTCCCTGGTTGCACAGGGCGGGCCCTAGGAGAGCTGTGGACACACAAGCATGTAGGTGCTGCCCCTGAGAACTACAAACAGGGTCTCTGGTGCCAGTCAGGGAGGCCTCCCTGTGGGGCCCCCAGGCCAGTTCTGGGGAGAAGCAGCCCATGCACAAAGGCAGAGGTGGTCAGATCCTAGCTCTCTTCCTATGCCCCACAAGCTCAGCAGAGGTGCAGCCTTACTAGGAGGAGGTGTTCACACTTTTCTGTTCTGCATTAAAATGAAGGTGCTAATGGCCAGGAAAGGCAGAGACAGGCCCTTGGCTGTACCCTGCTAGGGGACAGTCTGTGGATGGCAAGGACCCCAGTCTTCCCCTTTCAGGGACAGGCCAGACTCTAGAGATGCACAAGGGCCTGTGGGGGCCGGGCTAGGGAGGAGCTGGGTGAGTGCAGGGGTGGGGTCTTCTAGAGGAGTGGACCTACTCTGAACAGCGGGGTGGGCACTGTCCATCAGGAGAGCTAGGCCCACAAGAGTGGAGCCACAGACTTGGTGCTGGGCTGGTGGACTGGGACCCCCACGCCTGTTAATGATGGGAGACAGGGAGCTGTGGAAAACCTGAAGGGCGTGGGGGGGGGTGGAAGCCGTGGGGGAGGCTCATGGCTGCCTCTGTAGGCCTGTGCCGTCATGGCCCGCATGGTGTGGAGCCTGCTGCTGCTGCTGCTGCTACCACCGCTGTTCCTGACAGGGATCCAGGACAGGAGGAAGGGGGGCCACAAGGTGAGGGCGGCCCTGCCCTCTGGGTGCCCTTGCTCTCTAGTGGGCCCTGAAAGGAAGGGCAGCCCAGTGGGCTGGAACTGCAGCCGAGCCTGGTGTGGAGACCCAGGCCTCACAGGGTCAGGGTTGGAGTGGGGGGGAGGCCTGGCCTCCAGGCAGGGCCTGAAGGGAGCTGCCATGGCACTACCCCGACCCCTCTGCACCTGAGGGAAGGTGCTTAGTCTCAGAGCCTCCCTCACTCCTTCCTGGGCAAACATCCGGTTCCTCTGATCTCCCCCAAACCCTGCAGCCACATCCAGAGGATCTGATCCCTTTGAACCTCCCTCCCCTCTCTCCTCCCTGCATCTCTCCAGCACAAACCCTCAGTCGACAGGATACATGTGCCAAAAATCTCCCTGGGTGGAGACCCGTACGGGGTCTGCCCGCTCCAGCTCCTGGTTAGCTGTATGACCCTGGGAAAGTTACTTGTGCTCTCTGAGCCCCAGTCTCTTCACATATAAATGCCAGTTTGAGTCCCTAGTAGGAGGATGGTTGACCCCAGGAAGCCCTCTGGGGACCGCCCTCCCGGAGGCTGGGTCTACGGGGCGGGTCCTGGAGCAGCTCGCAGCGCCGACCTTCCAGGTGATCCGAGAGCCCTGTGAGCACCACGAGGAGTGCCAGAGCAGATGCTGCGTCACCAACAACCTGAGCCCGCAGCGCTTCTGCACGCCCAAGACCTTCTTCCTTCAGTGCCTGTCCTGGACCAAGGTGCGGCGGGGGCGCGGCGGGCGGCGGGTGTCGGGCATCGGGCGGCGGGGGAGGGTGCCGAGGCAGGAGGCGTGTGGTCCCCGCAGCCCAATGGGTACAGCTGCCAGGATCACTCGGAGTGCCAGAGCGAATGCTGCGTGAGGAGTAGCCAAGTGCCGATGCAGTTCTGCACGTCCAAGACCGTCTTCCTGCAGTGCGTGCCCTGGCGCAAGGTGCGCGCCAGGTGGGGCGGCGCTGGGAGGCGCGGGGCGGCGCCTGGGGCGTCACCTGGCGGGGAGGGGGGGAGGCGGTGACTTCGGCCGGTTTCTCCAGCCCAACGGAGAATTCTGCCGAAGCCACAGCCAGTGCTGGAGCCAGTGCTGCCTCCATGTGCCCCAGATCAGCGCCTTCCGCTGCTCTGCCCGCAACGGCATCCTGGCCCAGTGCCTGCCCCTCGTGAGTCCACCCTGCCCCCGGGGTCTTCGCTGGACAGCAGTGCCTCGGGTCAAAGGGCAGGGGGCCCTGCTGGACCCCGGGTTCATTTGTGAGGCGGGAGAGTGTGTGGGGCTCTGGGTGGCGCTGGGCCTTCAGGTCTGGCTGCACACAGGTGCACATTAATGTAGGGCTGTCACAGAAGGGCCAGCAGCTGGACCAGGACCCAGAAGCCAAGCCCTGGGACTGGGTGGGACTGGCCGGAGTCACAGAGCACCAGTCCTCCTGCATGCCGGAGTCTGCGTGTCTGTGTGGGGTCCGCCACGTCAGGCAGGGGGTTGGCTCTTCTGGGGAGTCCCTGTCCAGCCGGGCTTCCCAGCTCCACGGTCCTGACTTCTGGCTGCCCCTAGTCATGAGCAAGAACCTGAGGCGGCGCCGAGCCTGGACTGCCAAGAAAAGGCGGGACTCCGCGCTCCTTTCGTGCTCCCCCGCGGGCTCTTGCGCCTGCAGGGAGCAGAGGCCTCGGTGGCGCACGGGTGGTCGTTGGCGTGATGCGCGGCCCGATTGTGCGAGGAATAAACCGGTGACGAGGAGGCGGTGTCTTCTCCCTCCTTGCCGCTCAGTACCGCGGCCCCACCTCCGCGGAGGCCCCGGCGCCAGGGGCCAGGCCCACCAGAGATTCCGTAATTAAGCCGCAGAAACGCATTTGGCCACCACCGGTGAAAGCAGTAAGTTGGCCATTCAGCTGCAGAAGCGTCCTCGAGAGAAGCGCCGGTGGACGCAGGTCGGCGCCGCGCCTCCCCGAGCCCAGGACCTTCCCGCGCCCGGCCCTGGGCGCTCCCGAAGCCGGGCGCTCTCCGCCCCTCGCGGCGAGCCCTCCTCGGGTGGCGTGGGTGCCCAGCCCGGCGCGGTCTGCGCGAGTCCCGCTAGGCGTCCCACCAGGGCCTCGGCCTCGGGCTGCCGCGAGCCTTGACTGTTACTGGAGAGCAGCGAGCGCCAGGCTGAGTCTCCAACCTGGGTGTCGTTAGAAGCCCCGTGAGAGCCCCTCAACGTGGGCCTGAAGGACTACCAGAAACCGCCTCAGAAGGGAGCTCAGAATCCTGCGCCGGGCCCCTCTCCCGTGCTCCAGCTCGTGGTCCCTGCGTCCAGACAGCAGGCAGCCGGGTCCCGGTGCCGCGAGCGCAGGGCCCTGCAGCTCCAAGGGCGGCCCCTGGGTGGCGATGAGGCCTGGGGAAGCGGCCCAGGGCTGCTCCAGTAAGGGTGGAGGTCGCCCCCTTGGGTCCCTGACTTTCCCCTTTTCAGAGAACCCTGAAGTGAACACCTGGCTGCTGATGCAGGGCAGGTGCCGGCCAGAGGCACAGGCGACCTCCACCGAGGCCGGTGGGGAACAGCCTCACAAGGAACGTGCCCCCTGCGGCCCACGGAGAGGAGCTCTGCTCCCAGCTGCTCCTTGCTGCTCTGCCTGCCTCTGAAGCAGCCCACACCGCTGCTGACCTCGATGGGCCTCCCCTGCCGCCAGGAGTCACCTAGGCGGGTCCCTGCTGCCCTTCAGAAGCCCCCCAGCTGTCTGCAGGCGTGGCATGCCCTCTGGCTTTGAGGGAGAGTGAGCCTGTAACTTTCCTGACCATTGGAGGGGCCAGCGAAATTACTTTTTGTTCAGAAGCCATAACATGGAATTTTTAAAAATCCTGGTAAAATACACACAGCATAAAATAGGCCACTTTGTTATCTATTCATTTTGCAGTGGTGAGGAGTGAAGCCAGGGCTGCTGCCACTGAGCCTCATCCCTAGCCCTTTTAATTTTATTTTGAGACAAGGCCTTGCTAAATTGCCAAGGCTGGCCTTCATCCTGTGATCCTCTTGCCTGGGCCTCCAGGCTTGCATCACAGTGCTGGGCTAACACCACCCCCCCCCCCCAGTTTAAGCAGCTTTAAACGTGTGGTTTAGTGCAGTAAGCCCATACTGCTGTCACCACCACCTCCATCCACACTGCCTTGAAGTCCCCTTAGACTGGATGTTTGTCCCAGGATCCATGTTAAAATCCTCACCCCCACAGTGTGTGGTGTGTTAGGTGGGACGCCCTCAAGAGATGGGAAGGCCCTGGAGCCTCGTGAGTGGGACCTGAGTAGGACAGGGTCCTGAAGAGAGACCTGAGAGCAGTCTGTCCCTTCCCCAGGAGGACCCAGGCAGGAGGAGCCTCTGTGACCCAGCAAGTGTCCTCACTGGAAGCTGCCTCTGCTGCACCATCTCTTGACCTCCGGCCTCTGGAACGTGGAGAATGGGTGCCTGTGTCTCTGAGCCACCAGGCTGAGACATGTCATAGTGACTGAATGGACTGTGGTCCCGAATTGAAACTGATACCACTGGTTATTGGTGACGAGTCCTGCTTCCCCACATGTTGAAGTTTGAACATTAGAGAAGCAACCTAGGCAAGCATATGAAGCAGGGTTTATTTAAAAAAGGGTAACGTAGACTTTTCCCACGAGGGAAAAGGGGGCCATGGCTCGTGTCCTGGTATCCCAAGAGGGGAGGTGTTCTGCCCTTTTTATGTCCTAGGCTTCCTTTGTTCTCCTGCCCTCTCCCCAGGAATGCTCGTGGCCAAAAGGTGGGAGACAGGTGGGCTGAAGGGGGAAGGGCAGGTGGAGCAGCCAAGGACACAGTGACAAACTTATAGCTCCCTGTGGGGAGGGGCAGTTCCTGGGACAGGTTACCTTGGCAATAGGTTGAAGCAGGGGCAGGTTCTTGATAAGGGTGGAGGAAGGGCTCTGAGGGAATTAACATTTCAGTCCCTCAGGGGACCTCTCCAACTTGCTGGACTCACTCAAAATTGGCCTCCTGGATCCCACCTGTCTCAATTGACCTGATTGCCTGTGCAATTCTGGCTTCAGGACTGCACCACTGTGTGCCAGACATTTAAAAAGGCCCAGGGCTGGAGCAGAGGCCACACCTGTGATCCCGGGGAGGGAGGTCAAGGCAGGAGGGTCCAAGTTCAGACTACCTGGGCAAGTTAGCAAGGCCCTGTCTGGAAATAAGAAATGAGAAGCTGGGGTGCTGCTCAGGTAGAGCCCCTGGGTTCAGCCCCAGATCCTGAGTAAGCAAAGCAGGAATGAATGGAAGGCTCTGGGGTCAGGGTCCGTCTGGCCTCAGCCTGGCTCCAAGCGCAACGCCAGCTGCTCTTTGAGCATGAAGTGCTCAGGCAAAGGTGCTGTACCTGCTCCACAGCTGCAGCTTGGGCCTCACGGACCAGAAAACAACCAGGTTTTCATTGGGTGGGTGGGGTACGGAGGCGTCAGGAAGATGGGGAGGCTGTGGCTGCTGAGTGGCTCAGAAGGAGAGGCACTCTGGAGGGTCAGGAGGGGCTCAGCCAGAGGACAGCACTCCTGCAGGGGCTTGGGCCTCCACGAGGGGGAGAGGAAGGGCCTTGGGCAGCTCTGTCTGCGGTGGGGAAGTTGGAAACCTGCAGCTCCCAAGCCAGTTGGGCTGAGCCGCTGGGCTCTGCCTGGGGTGTAGGTCAGACAGGTGGGGTGCAGGGGAGGGTGCAGATGCTGTGCTGGCAGGGACACAAGAAGGCTAGCCTGGGGGCCTGTGGCTGAGGGTTTTCGCTGAAGCATGAATGACAAAGCCCATAGCCAAACCCCAGGAACCTCCAAAGGAGACTCCCAAGGAGTGGGGTTTCAGAAGACCATAGGAAGGAAGGGAGCCAGGGACAGAATCAGAGCCAGATGGACAGAACAAAAACTCAAGGGTTTTATTCCTATTTTTTGCAAAGAAATAACAAATAATAATCGATGGAGAGGAAATACCGGCGTCAGGGATATGAATGGTGACAAAGTCACAGGTGAGGGAACAAAGCTCAGGAAGGCTGTTTCAGTGCTCAGGCCACTCCCAGCAAGTTCTAAACCGCCCAGGCTGTCCTCAAAGCCTGTGGACATGCCAGAGCCCAGCGGCCTCTTAGAATCAGAGAGAGCTGACGGTGGGCCTGGGCACACCCTGGGCAGGGGCCTACAAAACCCTGGCACCAGAGGACAGCAGCTGCCAGGTTCCTGTGAGGCTGACCCCTTATATCTTATTTAGAGACAGGGTCTCGCCTAGTTACTTGGGGCCTTGCTAAGTTGCTGAGGCTGGCTTTGAACTTGGCATCCTCCTGCCGCAGCCTCCTGGGCTACTGGTGTCACAGGCGTGTCCACTGTGCCCAGATTCAAGAATATTTGAACTAGGAGTGCCTTCAGGGAGACTGCAGTGGACACAGCTTGCAGGAGCAGATGTGAGTAACCCATGAAAACTCCCGGGAGAGGATGCAAAGGTGACTGGGGAGAGAACACCTGCTGTGCCTCTGGGGACGCTGTGGGCCAGGGGGGACTTGGTGGTGCTGAGGACTGCAGAGCATCCAACATCTGGGCTCTGTGCCCATGAGGGGTGTGGAGAGATGGCCACCCTTCCTGGAAGACAAGGAGTCACCTAAACCCCAGAAGTGGCAGTGGGAGCAGAAAGTGGGACCATGCCTGGGCAGCTGCACCTGGCTGAGATGATGGCCGGGGACTTGGGGTGGCCATGCCTGGACGACTACCCTGGGCTGAGGCCCAAGTCAGTTCTACAATCCGAGAGGCAGAGTGGCTGCCTGCCCCCAACAATCCCCTCTTCCCTGAAAACAAGCACACTGGGGAGAAGTCCCACCAGGTGGCAGCACCCCTCAGGGTGGCGAGGAGGGGAGCCTACCTGGGGAGGTGAGGAGTGGGGAGGAACCCCACCTAGGGGGATGGGGGAGGAAGCCCACCTGTGGGGGACTGGGGGAGAGGAATCCTACCTAGGGGGACTGGGGCGGGGAGGGGAGGAAGAAGGAGGAAGCCCACCAGGAGAGACTGAGGGGGAGGAGGAAGCCCACTTGGGGGGACAGAGATACGGGGGAGAATGCCCACCTCTGGGAAGCTGAAACAGGCAGCCACTATGCCCACTACCCACTATGCACCTCGCCCTCCACCTGGGCCGCCCTGAGCAGAATGTGGGCAGGCAGCAGAGCCAGCACTAGAGATCCCCAAAGAGACAGAACCTTTCAGGACAGGAGCTGCCTGTGGTCTGCTAGCAGCAGTGGACTTGCCTTGGGTCTCCTCTGGAGGTGGGTGGTGAGTACCCTCACCAGGAGGGGCCTGCCCAGCTGTTCAGGACACTGGCTCCCAGCAAGCAAGCACCCACACTAGCTCCCGGGATCACAGCCTCAGGGCCTGGGTGCAGCTCAGGTGGGGCCTGGCCTCTGGGAGCTGCAGTTCTCAGGAGGGAGGGCCCCTTCCCAGTCCTGCCCCTTCCCAGCTGGGTCCATAGCCCGTCAGTGAAACGGGGCAGCTCAGGCCCAGGAGTCACAGGACAGGTGTGCTGCAGGGACCCCTCCCGCCCCCCACTGCTGCACACAGGTGATACCAGGTGGCACAGGCCTCAGCAAATGGCCATTTCTTTCGGGAACTCTTGCTCTCTCTCCTGCCCACGTGGCCCTGTGCTGGAGGCTCCCCTTTCCCACGCTGCCCTGTCCATCCCAGCCCCTCACCTGAGACTTGCCTGCTGCTAACTGCCAGGCTGGTGGCCAGACCTCACCTGGTGTGGCCAGAGGCAGGCAGAGGGCTGCAGAGCTGAGGGCCCAGCCAGGCCTTGGTCTCGCCCAACAGCTTCCAATCCAGATCTGTTTCCCAGTTCTAACTGGGACAGGCCTGATGCTCAGTTCTTAGGGAGGTGACCCTGCCCTTCAGCTCCATAGGGCTGTGGCCACATCAGGTTCTTGGCTGCCTGACCCTCACATTGGCTCCCCAAGGCCAGGCCTTACCCTGGACCTCACCCATTGTGGATCATGCCTTCAATATCCTATTCCAGACAGTGAGGTCCTGCCCACTGTTGCGTGGATGCAGCCCTCTCCTGACCTCTGGGGACCTGGTCTGAGGCCGAGGTTCCTGCTCCCCCCAGGGCTCCATGCAGGTGTGTCCTTTGGCTCTTAACTCTGGTATTTGGCTCCTGGGCTCCCAGGGGGCCTTGGTCAATGGGTGGCCCTTGGAGTGGGGTCCGAGGTGCTACGGGTTACAGCAGGACCCTGGGGCAGCTGCGACGCATGCCACAGTCCACCACTGCAGAAAATGGGTGGGGGGCTGTCTTTGAAGACCGGGTGGTCAGCAGTGAGACCAGGAGGGCAGGTGAGGCCCAGTGGTTCTGTGCACAGGGCCTGAGGAACTCGAGTGGTTGCTGGCCTAGACACCACTCGGGGGTCAAAGGTGGCGGCTCCTGCCACCATCCCGTGGCTTGCTGTGCTCATAAGCTGTCATTTCCCTGGCAAGTCCCCCCAGGGAGACGTCAGGGAGGGCTGAGGCCAGGCCTAACACAGGTGGGCGTGCCCAGGGGCCCAGCATCAGGCAGCAGCTGGCTCCCTGGGGAGACCTGCTCTGGGATAGAGGCCACCAACCCTCGAAGTGCTGTTTACTCAGTGTGGGTCACCTGCTGCCTGGTGTGGGACAGGGACACATGTTCCAAGGGGGTCACCACTGCCTGCATAAAGACGGGCACTCAGAGACCTAAAAACCCTGCAGAATGTTCTGGAAATGACTCAGTGGCTGAGGCTGGGATGGCCAGGGTCTCCGTGACCACATCCAGCCCCACAGGGCTCACAGGGGACAGAGGCCTGCGCATGCTGCCTATGGAGGGATACCCTCCTGCCTCAACCACACAAGATACCGCACCATGTTCCATCCACAATCAAGGCTGTATTTATCTTTGTTCTTAATATGGAAACAGAATGCTTAAAACAACCGGAGTCCACAATAGAAACGGCAGGCTGAAAATAAGAACAGCACAGAACAGGCCAGGAAGCCCAGGAGACAGGAGCAGGTGTAGGGAGCTGGCCACAGCAGATGCTCACAGCGGGAGGAGAGCAAACCCAAACCCAAGCAGGGCAACGCTGGGACAGGCTCTGGCTGACCTGATGGCTCCATGGGGGAGAGAAAGAATCCTGGTTACCTTTTTCTCGTAACCAATCTTTAGGCTCTTGCACTCCTAAAATCCTACTTATTGGCTCTGATTCTGAGGATCCACAGGTATGTTCCTTGAGGCCAGCCAATCCTAAAGCCCACATGAGCCAAAGCAGAAGGTGCCTAGGAGTGTCACCTGCCCTACGGCCACTCCTGGAAGGCCCAACTGTGACCACAGGCAGCCTCCCAGTGAGCTGCAGGGGCTGGAGGAAGTCCACAGGAACCTCTTCCCCAGAGCCTGGGGTTGGGCCTTAGAGTGCTTGCATAGTTGAAGGGTGATGGCTGCAGGTAGACTTCCAAGAGTGTTTGCTACTGACAGCAAGTTGAGTTTTGTGACCATGTTAAGTCACCAGAGGGGCTTCTGGAAGCTTATAAAGACTACCGAGGTTAAGAATTTAATGTCTTATATTTATATTAAGACTATTTACATTTGTTTATTTTTTAAAAAAACAAACCGAAAAAAAAAAAATCCTCCTCACACTTCTGCATAAAAGAATAAGGAGAAAAAAACCCAAAGTTTTGTACATTATTATTAATTCTTATTTTAATATATATCTGTAACTTCGGTTCCAAGTACCAAGGGGATGGGGTGGCCAGGGCCGGCCTGAGCGGGAGCCTCACAGTGTGCTGGACAAAAAGACCGCGTTCTCTCCATAAATAAGACAAAGAAACCCTGGGGCTGGAAAGGGATCTGAGGCCAGTAAATCACAAATCCCAACTAAAAAATTTTTTTTTGGTTCTTTTAAATGTCTGAGAGCACAAAATTAAGAAAAATACAAAACCATTAAAAACGCTTCTCACCTGTGGGGGGAAAGATACAAAGGTGGATTTTCCCAGGGGCCTAATCTCGACTGGAAAACCGTCCCCTGCGCTCCAGGGCTCGCGCTGCGGGGACGCGGAGGGGCTGTGCTTGCGCGGGGTTCGCGCCAGGAGCGTTCGGGACAGCGCGCATCTGCTGGAGAGCAGCCCCAGGGCTACCGCGCCTCCACCTCCTGCGGGTTGCGCGGCGGAGAGTAGTCGCGCGCCTCGCTCGGGCCCAGCGCCAGCGGCGTAGTCCTGGGGCGCGCGGGGACCCCGGCCGCGGCCACCAGCGGGGGCGGCGCGCCGAGCGCGGCGGCGGGAGGGGTGCGCGCTAACAGCGCGCCGTGCAGGGCGGCGGGCCCGAGGCGCGCGTAGTGCAGCGCGCCCAGCAGCGCGGCGCCGTCGGGGCCGGGTGCCCGTGCACGCTCCAGGTCCTCGCGGCGCGCATCCCGAAGGCGCTCGGGGCTGTAGTCGTGCGGCTCGCGGTCGCGATAGGGGCGCTCGGCCGGCTCCGGGGGCGCGGGGCCCGCGCGGCGTGGCAGCTCCAGGCCGCGGTAGGCCTCGCGCAGAGGCTCCCATGAGAAGCCCGGTGCGCCCAGGCGCTCGCGGCCCGGGCCCGGCTGCGTGGGCGCGGGGAGCAGGCCGCCGCTTGCGGGCTCTGGCGCTTCATCCTCCCTGCGCTCCTCCTTGACCTTCACGTCGCTCTGCGGACGCTCGGGCGGCTCCGGTGGCCTGCCCGGCTCTCGACCCAGCAGGCAGGCCAGGCGCAGGCTGTCGCCCAGGGCCGCCTTGCTGTAGGGCGACGGCGGGCGCGCGACCAGCGTGGCGCCATCCTCCTTGGCAGGTGAGTGGCTCTCCTTGACCCGGGGCTCTGCCTCGCGCTCTGCCGGGGCCCCAGCTCTGCCCAGCTCCCCCTGGCCGCGCAGCAGGAGGCTGCTGATGGGATGGCCCAGGGGAGCTGCAGGGGAGGCGCGGCTCAGCAGGCGTGTCTTCTCCAGGAGGTCTCTGGGGGCGACAGGGCAGACCCGTCACTAACAGGTGGCCCTGGACAGCTGTTGGCTGAGTTGCCTTCTAGCACAGTGGAGGCTGTCTGGGCAGAACCTTCAGTACCCTGGGTCCAACACCATACTTTCCCCGCCCCAGGCCAAGCTCACAGTTCTTGCCCACTGTGGCCACCACCCCAGCCCAAGGAAATGAGATGCTGGCTGGCCAGCCCTGAAGTGTGGCTTCCTTTGGGGCAAAATCCAGCTGTCCACCTGTGCTTTTAGCCTCTGCCATGGAAGACGGCTCTGGACAATTAGCCCAGCAGCTGCCCACGAGCCCCCCCCCCCCGCCCCCAACTAGCCTGCGTCAGGCAGCAGAGGCCATGGCTTCCGCCTTGGGAGGGGCTCCTGAGTTCACTCACCCTTGTCCCCCAAGACACACCTGTGCATACTAGGGGACCACAGGGCTGCCACACTGGCTAGTTCTGCTCAAAGTCATGCAGCAAAGGATCCCTGCCCCTCACAGGGGGCAGAGCAGAGCCACCAGGGCAGGCACGACTACAGGGCCACCAAGGAGAGCTGTGTGGATAGCCTGGCCCATGAGGCTCCTGTGGCATGCCTGTGACTCCAGGGTCCCCTTCCCCACCTCCACTGAACCCTCAGAGGTGATACTGGGGCTGTAGCCTGTGTGCAGGCCCTGTGGGAATGTCATCCCACATTCTCGTGGCCACTGTGACGTGCAACCCCTACCTCCTGTGCTGACCCTGATGGCTGCCCTCTCCCATGTATGTGCCCATGATCAATGCCACCCTGACCCCAGAAACAGTCTGCAGCAGCAGGCAATGGCCCCCAAATCCAGCAGGACCTCAGGGCCTTCCTGCTCCTGGGCCTTCCTCTTGACCTCTATCTCTCCGAAGAGATGCCCCAAATCCAGATTCTGGGATGATGACATGTGGCAGTGCTTGTGGAGGGCCCTGCCAAGGCTCGCTGGGCCACAGGACAGTGATAGGCTGGTCATGCTGGGAGCTTTACCCTAGTACCCATGTCTGCTGGGCACCCATGGACAAATGATTATAGAGGGTGGACAGGGCCACAGGTGGGAAGCAATACGCGCCCGACCACCTCTGAAGCCCAACCTCCCCAAATTCAATGCCGATACACAGACCAGGGACCACCTGCCACCATGAGCCTGCGGCCAGCCCTGTGAGCTGGAAGCTAGAAGCAGAGCCAGGCAGGGACCCAGGTCCTCATGCATTCAGGCAAGGGCTCTGCCTCCAGGCACCACCACAGGGTCTCCTGGCTGCATCTCTGCCCGGCTGCTCTTCCCTGGCCAGCTGCTGGCCCTCCTGTCCATAGGGTGGGGCTGCCTGGAATGTGGCTGTTGGGACCCTTAGGTTAGCCTTCACTGCACTCCCAGACTTCCTCGGGCAGGCTGGGTCTGTGTTCGACACTGAGCTGTGCAGAGGGGGCAGGTGGGCGGGAGGGAGGAGGGCCTGGGCCTGTTACTCACCGCTCCCGCTCCCGCTCCTCCCGGCCCTGGTCTGGCTCTCGGTCGTGGCTGGTCAGGGCTGCGCTGTGCTCTGCCTCCTGGGGCTTGGGCCATGGGGGCGGTGTGGGGAAGGAGGGGGGCGTCCGGTGTAGCCGGCTCCAGGCCTCGTGGGGGCTGGGCAGGCCGTGTAGCGTGGAGCCCTCCTTGGGGGCAAAGATGCTGCCCCCTGGAGCTGGGGTGGGAGGTAGGGGCAGAGGCAGGAAGGTGAGCCAGACAGACCCCCTCCTCTCCCCTTCCATGCTGACCCAGGACCCCAGCCCCTGCCCAGGGGTCACTCACTCAGTGTGTGGCTGCCCAGGCCTCCGAAGGCATGGCTGCCCAGGCTCCCCAGGCCCCCGAAGGTGCTGGATCTGCTGAAAGGGCCTGTGGGCAGTGGGAGCTCAGGGTCTGCAGGGCTGGGTGGGGCTCCCTGACCCCTGGCCCAAGGAAGGCAACTCCAGAAGCTTCCAGCAACAGGGCCACTTCCCACCCACTCAGCCCCAGCCCTGAGGTCTGCAGAGCAGACTGTACAGGCCCCAGGGCACCCACCTGCAAGGTGACCAGCAGGCAGGAAGCTGTGATGGGCTGAGGGTCCGCAGAGGCTGGAGGCAGGGTGGGCGGCACCTGGGTGAAGGGCTGCGGTTGACAGAAGCCCAGAGAGCACACCTGGAGGTCCTGTCCGCAGCGTGGCTCATGGCTGGGACACCCCAACTTCCCCTGAGAACCCCCAACCTCCCATTCACTCCTCTTCATCCCACTGTGGAATAGGATGTGTCTGGAGTAAGAGTGAAATTCAGGACTCTCCCAGATCTGGCCATAGCGAGGCCACCTGGGGTAAGGGAGGCTGGCTGCAGTGGACTCCAGAGGGAAGAGGGCCAAGGGAAGTGAGTTCTCAGCCATGTGACTAAAAGTGATCCTAGCTACTTCAGGGATTGGGTCTTGGGTACTGAACACAGTATCCCTATCTGTGGACTTCTGAGACACAGGGCCCAGCCCACAAGAGTCCCTCTGGGTGCACTAGCACCCAACAACCAACCCTGTGGGCCCAAGAACCGAATGTGTGGGGGATGGGTCTGAGGTGCTGCTGAGCAGGACCCAGTGCTGGGGAGGCCAGGGCCTGCAAGTGGGGCATGTCCTTTATCTTGAAGGTGAAGCCTCCCACCCCGGGCTACAGGGGTCAGGGCACAGAGCTTCTGGTCTACACTGACTCCCAATAGGAAAGACAGTTCCACCCTCTCGACCAGAGACCAAAAAGCCAGGACCCAGCATCTGAAGCAGGACTGGCAGGTCAGAGCAGGACCCATGGTGTGAAGCAGGAAAAGCAGGACAAAACAGGACCTGGAGGGTCAAAGCAGGCAGTGGGGAGTGGAGCAGAAACGGGCCCCTAGAATGCACATGCCAGCATGAAGGTGAAGACCAGCCTTCTAAGATCCCAACTCAAGTTCGAGAAAGGACAGCAATAGAGCACACACTAGAGGGACAGGCTTTTAAAATACTGAGGGACAGACAGACTCTGCCAGGCTGGCGGTGGGGAACCAGAGGTGTGGGCCCAGGCAATCCTGGGAGCCACCAGCTCCCTACTGGAAAAGCTCTAGTTATCAAACTAAGTCCAGAAGCAGCAGAGAACTTCAAGGGCCACAGAGCCAGCAGCAGAAAGGAACCTGCAGCTGAAAACCCTGGGCAGGGGCTGGGCCCAGGGAACCCTGCACTGAGTCCCAGGCTCCTCTCCAGAGCAGGAGAGAGGACTTGTGGCTGAACCGAGGGCCGGCCTCAGGACACCAGGCACAGCCAGCAGCGAGAGGTACTGCCCAGCGAGTGAGGCACTGTCAACAGAGGGGCCTCCACACTGCCAAGGTGAGGAGCTGCACCCCAAGGGTGGTGGACGGCAGGGTGTGGACCAAGAGAGATGCAGGCCTCAGAATCAACATGCACTTCTATTTTCTAGCAAAAGCCCATAAAAAAAATGCAATTTTACAAATGCCAATCACACAGTAAGACACACAGCATTCAGAAACGATTCTGATATGCCCTGTCCGTGGGCGGGAGGTGGTTCCTGAGTTGGCCTGTATGCTTAGCAGTACTTGGCGGAGACCAGCGGGAGGATTTAACTTAACACAGAAGAGCAAAAAGAGGGAACACCCGCGAGTCAGAGACCCAGACCCACTGGAGGTGGGGAGTACAGGGTAGGCCCAGTGCAGAGATAGGGGCCAGCTACAGCACACAGCTGCAGACTGGGGCCATATCTTGGGGCTCCAAGGAGGTGACAGGCTTTGGGGACATGTGTGTGTGTGTGTGTGCACGTGCATGCACGTGTGTACACACACAGGTTGGAGGTACTGTTCTCAGGGAGTCAGGGGTGCAAGGCTGGCCGGAGCGGGCCTCTGGGACTCACACAGGTCTAGAGAGGCCCCTCTGCACCCACAAGATGAGACTACAAACTTGCCTCATTCGCTGAGGTCCCTGCTGCACACTCCTCTCCCAGGCCAAGAACTGGTGCACACCCAGCCACCCTGTTGGTCCTGGGGACCCTGAGGCTGCCGCATCTCAGGGGGAGCAAGGCCAGGGTGGGCCCTGGGAGCATCATCCTGAGAACCCTTCTTGGGCTGCTGGGCCAAGAGGGGACAGAGCAGTGGGAAAAGGAGACCCCAGAAGGAGAGGCCACAGGCCCAGCACAGGACCCAGGGCTGAGGCCCCGACACGCAGATGAGGACCCAAGGCTGGGACGGGATGCCGAGAGTTGAGTGCCCTTCCTCCTGGCATAGAACAGCGGGCTCGGTGGCCCTCAGTCTTACCTGTGCTGGAGAAGAGAGGGCGGGCCAGGTCCTGTGGGTAGTGGAACCCCGAGAACACACCAGGGGCAGGGGGCCTGCTGGACAGGTCCAGCTTTGTGCCCACCTCCAGCTTGTGGGGGTCCAGCTGCATCTGCTGAGAAGACAAGCCATGAAGGTCTGCTGTGGACCGGCTGCCCACAGGGACCTCGGGGGGGGCACAGCCACACCCCACATGTGCTAGCAACCCAGACACATGCCCCGTGCAACGTTGCCAAGGGGAGGCCACCCTTCACAGGGGGCCCAGAGCCTGGGAGTGGCCCTTGTGCCTGCAGGTCCCAACCTGGACACACTGCTTCGGGGGACAAGCTGCCTGCACTGTGGCAAATAAACTCAGGTGGAAAAGCATAGTCACAGGCCTCAGTTACTCCAGTGAGCTTGAGTTTCCAGTGATGGAATTTAGTTACGTTTCAAAAGCTGAATTTATTAAAATGTAACAAAACCGAGAAACACTGATGGGTGCTGGCCACTCCCAGCTTGAGGGCCAGGCAGGTGGGAGGGCCCATGGCCTTCTGACCTCAGCTGATGCTGCCGAGAGGAACCAAGCCCCGGGTGCCCAGGGCACCACCAGGTGTTACTCAGATGGCCGTGGCCAGCTCGACCTTGCCACTGGCTCTCAGTGGGGACCCCCCTGCCTGGGCCTCCCCAGCATCCCTCCTCTCAGTCCTCTGGGTGCACCCAAGCACCTGCACCCTGAGACGTGGCGTCTGCTCTAGTCCCTTCTCTGCCTTCTCCCTCAGTGTGTTTATGATGGCATGATTCTTAAGGAGTGTGCGTGGCAGAGTCCTGTGTCACAGGGCTTGTTCTGACAGCAAGGTACAGGGACACAGAGCCGACTTGGCATCTTGGAAGGACCCTCTCCTGCCCTGACCAGACACCTGCACGCACAGGACCCAGGGCTCACTCCCAGTCCTGCCTGGCTCCTCCCAGGCACCCCCCACCCCCACCGCTAGCCGTGCTGGCCAAGAGCCCCTTCCCGGGCCCGCCCACCTCACCTTTGCCTTCTGCTGGTGGACATGGATCTGCCAGGCGATCTGCACGTGCACAGCGCACCACCGCCCCGGCTTCTGCGCGGAAAGGCCAGGCGTGCTCAGGGCTGCCCTCTTCCCAGCCACAGGCCACGGGTCACGCGGCCAGGTCCTCCCCAAACACACACTTACCCTGACCGCTGTCCGGTACGGGTCAGACACCTACAGTGGACAGAACAGAGGAAGGGTCACATGTGGGTCCTGCAGGGTGCATTAGGGAGGGGACAGCCCCAAGCTGATGCTGCCAGGTCATATGGGGTGGGGGTGACTTCTGACACCTACCCCAGGGGCCTTCTGCAGGAGCGTGTGGACAGCACTGGCCCGGCCTGTTACCTCAATCGGGTTTGAAGTCTGGTGGTGAAGAGAGAGCATGTCACCATGGCTGAGGAAGTCAAGATAACGAACCTCCAAACTTCGGGGTCCTAGGCTGGCCTATGCCCGGGCCACTGCCACCAGGGGCAGCCTGGCTTCCCTCAGTCCAGGGAGTTCCACAAAGGTGGGAAGGGGGTCTTGACACCAATGGCTGGAGAGAGTGGGCCACCCCCAACTGGCAGAGCCACTTGTGTAGGGGCCATGACCACACTTAGGAAGGGACACTGAGAGCCCAGTCCCTACCCTGGAGCTGCAGGGGGCTGCCCTGTGGTCACAGTGGGCCGAAAAGGGACAGCAGAGGCCCATCCCGCCCAACACCTGGCTCTTCATCTGCCCACTTAGGTAGCACTGCCTGCTCCAGAGCCCTCCTGCCTAAACTGGGCTCAGTGTGAGACCAGCCCCTCCAGGTGTGGGCAGCTTGAGTACTGCAAGGGAGGCTACAGGGGCCTTTTAAGTCAGGGTCTGCTGGAACCTGGGAGGACTCGGGGCCTGTCGCAGGATTTGTCCCAGGTTTCAGGGCCACATCTGTATCCCCTCCCCAGCAGTCAAGAAACAGGTACAGACAACAGGATGCCTGCATGCTGTGGAAGGCTCACAAGGCTGCCCTGTCCGGGGCTGAGATGGCTCACAAGCTGGCGGAGGGGAAGGCCCTGTGCTGGCTGCTGTCCACACTGGGGACCTCTGAAGCCCACTTGGGAGAGTGAGCACCCAACATAGTCCCCTCTGTAGCTACCACCCCCTCCCTGGGAACATTTCCAGTCCAGAGGCCTCCAGATCCCTAGAGCAGCTGCACAGACCTCAGACAAGCCAGCTTGGAAGACGTTCTCAGGTCAGTGGCCAGACTGTAACATGGACAAGAGGTACTCCCAGCCCCTCCTCCTCACCACCTGTGTGCCCACCCCACCTATCATGCACAGCCAGTACCTTGGGCTGAAAAGCACCCTGCAAGGACCCAAAGGGGCCAGGGTGTGTGAGCAGGGTGGGCAGTCCTGGGACAGCAGGAGGGAAGGGTGGAAAGAGCTGCAAGAGAAAGTGCTGGGTCACAGACCCTCTTGAGGAGGACTGCAGTGACCCCGTCCTCTCCCTTCTCAGGAAGATGTGTACCCTAGGCTTGCCCCAGTAACAGGCTGCAGAGGGAGACACTCACATTGGAATGTCGGAAGTAGGGGCTGTCCAGCTTGGGTGAAAACTTGTCAAACTGCGGGAAAGGAAGCGGAGATGAGGCCTCCTGAACTGGCCTGATGCCCTCTATGGGCCCATCACCCGCCCACCCTGGCCAGTGGGCAGCCGCCCCAGGGTCCCTGAGATCAGCCCCTAGCACTGAACTACGCTGGGGCTGGCAGACAAGGGCAGCCTCCCACTCTCACGTTCCCTGCTACCTGGGCAGTCTGTGCTGCTGGGTGGAGGAGAGGGCGTGAAGCCCTGAGGCAGGGCAGGGGAGCTGGGGGACACACCCCTGCCACAGACAGAGAAAGTGGCCCCACTCAGCTTTGGCTTAGGAGAGGAGCCTGGGCTCTGAGGAACACCAGGGCCCAGATCTGGCACCTGCTGCCAAGGGCCGAGCACCCAGCTAGAGTGCAGAGGCTGAGGGCCTGTTGCACGCGTGTGGACACAGGCGCCTAAGGCTGGGACAAGACATAGAAATGGGCAGAAGGGCTGGGGGGGCGAGCGGGACGGGGTGGAGGGGGCAGGGAGTGGCCACGGCCCACCCTTGGCCGTGTGCACGTGTGGAGCGTGCGTCTGCGTGTGCCTGCCATGTGCCCCCCGCCCGCCCGGCAGCACGCGGCCTACGCACCGGCAGGGGTGCAGCGGGCGGCACGAGAGGCGACGGGGGCAGCCCCGGGAAGGGGGCGAATGTGTGTTGGTGCTGGTGTGTGTGCTGGTGTGTGTGTTGGTGTGTGTGCTGGTGCTGATGGAACTCGGCCCGCAGCAGAGCCCCCGGGCCCAGGGAGGCGCCCGGCCGCTCAGCGCTCTGCACCAGAAACCGCGTGTTCAGCTCTTGCCTGAGCAGCTCGCGATCTACAAGAGAAAAAGAGAGAAGACAGAGAGGCACGTCGGCCGCGGGCTCCCGGCGGGGCGAGGCGGATAGTCACCTGGCACTCCCGGTTTTGGCAGGCCAAGCCGTGGTGGCCGCTCGCTACGTGCGGGCCCCAGGGTGGAGGTAAGAGAGGAGCCTGTGACCAAGTACCAATCAGAATCCCCGAATGAGGCTGGCAATACATGATTGGCTGGTTGAATGAGATCAACAGGCTGGCATCTAGAGGCAAGAGAGAAGTCGGTGAGCCCGCACCCTTGAGTCCCTCCGGTGCAGGACGCCAGCCTGCCCCACCCAGCTGGCTGATTCAGTTCCAGTGAGCCTCTGGAGTCCCATCCCAGGGAGCAGGGGCAGGGGCTGTCATTGCAGGACCCCCAGTCTCGGGTCCTGACACTGAGGGGTGGGGAGGGACAGAAACCCTGAAGGTCACCCCACCAGAGGCGGCCAGGGTCCAGATGGAGTAGGTCGATGTGGGAGGCCAAAGTGCAGGACCCAGGGCTGTCCGCGTATGGGACACAACCCTGGACTTGAAGCTTGGGACAAGGACAGCCTGCCGGGTCAGAGGGGCACCCTTCCCCCCACCTCTCAGGCCTCTGGGGAGTGCCTGTGGCAGAGTGATCCCTTTCCGCCACCTACCGGCAGGGTGTCCTGGGATGACCAGGCTGCTGGCGGGCAGCGCCGGGGGCGGGGGCAGTGTCGGGGGTGTGGCGAACATGGCCGCCGCGTGGTGCTGGTGCTGCGCCTGGGACCGGAGCGCCAGGTGTGAGGTAGAGAGGTGGGGGCCGGGCCCGTGCGGCGACAGCGACACGTGCTTTGCCAGGCCCAGAGGGGCGCCACTGCCCGTACTGCTGCTCCTGCTGGGGACATGGGGCTCAATGCCACCTGCAGCCCCTGCCCACTGCCGCACCCGCCCCTCAACCCCACCCACAGACCCCACCTGGAGGCCCCGCCCACCTGAGGCTGTGCAGGTGCAGCCTGTTGGGCCCGGCCTGGCAGGGGCCTGGGCCCGTGAAGGTGCTCAGCGATGGAGGCACGTGCGTTGGGAGCGGGTCCCGCTGCTGCGGGGGTGCGGGCAGCGGCTGTGGAGCGTGGCGGGGCGCCGGGGTTTCCTTCTTCACCAGGGGGCTGGCACGGGTGCTGCACGCAAGCCCAGAGGGCGCGGCAGCCGGCAAGAAGGTCTCAGTGCTGAGCTCACGGCTGCGCTCCAGGCCCGACACCTTGGGCACTGCCCCAGCCTTATTCTCCGACTTCTCGCTGTGTGCGGGGTCTGTGGGGGAGAGGGCAGGTATGGTCCTGTGGCTGGCCCCACCTGCCCAAGTGCCACCTGCCAGAAACCTGAAAGTCCAGGCCCACTAATGCTCTTGGAAGCCACCAGGGGGTCCTGTGGCCACCGCTGTTTCCAATGGGGAATCAGGCACAGGTGGGTCCTGTACTTTTACCCAAGACCACACAGTCAGGGCCTGCTGGGTGCTGCCTCTGCTTCAGCCCCTCCCAGGAGGCCTCCCTTGGAGCCTGAGCAGCCTTGCACCCACACAGGAAGAGTCCTTGCCCCCACAGTAGCCCAACGGGGAGGCAATCAGGCCCCATCTTCCAGATAGGGCCCCGTCACCTTAGGGCTTGGTCTACCCCATGCCTGTCCTCACTGGCTGGTTACCATCCTCTTTCTGATCTCTCCAGAGATCAGGGAAAGCAAGTAGCCCCACAGCCAACTGCTCCCCTTAGCCCTCCCAGGGCCTGAGGCAGGGGCCAGCGGAGGACAGACTCACCTTTCCCAGCTGCTGGTGAAAACAGCTTCTCGGAGCCCACAGAGGCCTGAGGAGAGAGCAGAAAGCTGGCCTGGGGGTGGAGGGGACAGGAGCCTGGACCCCGCTCCCAAGGCTGGGCACCCACACCCAGGGTCTGCACAGGTTTCTGACCTGTCTGGGTGCTGTGGCCTGGTGTAGGTGCCCTCTGTGCACCCCCATGCCTGAGGGCAAATGGCTGTCCTGCATGTGTTCACACTGGCCACCCAGGGACCCCTCTGCTCAAAGCAGAGGCCTAGGGGCAGGTACCCGGGGCCTGCAGACCTGTGCCTGGCTCTGCTGAGCAGAGGAAGGTGAAGCCCTCACCACCTCCTACCCTGGCTTAGTGAGCTGGGTGGGTGTGAGAGCCACCTGTTGGTTGGGAGGGACACAGCCCTTCTCCATGTTGGCGCTGGTGGAGTTCGGGTCATGATCATAGTGAGGCGGCTAAGTGTCCAGGCACGTGACTACTGAGCAGGCTGAACCCCATGGGCTACCTGACCCTCTGTCAGTCCTAGAGAGTGTGGCCCTCAGTGGCCTCATGGGGGCAGGGGAAGGGAGAACGTGGCTTTGGAGGGCTCTATATGGGTTTCCCAGACGAGTTTGAGAGAAGCTTGGGCAGGTCCTTTTTCCTAGCCTTTGATCTTTTTCACCTTCATTGAGTCATGGACTGAATATGCCCCTAGAAGCCTAGACAAACCCCAGGCCCTGATGAGATCTCAGGGCTGGAAGAGGGGGTCCCACGCAAGCCTCTATGCATAGAGCTCACTGTCCTCTTGCTGCTGCATCCAAGGGCACATGGGCAGGTGCCATCAGAACCAGCAGCAGCATGTGAGACGCCAGATCTTTTGGTGCCTTGACCTTGGACTTCAAAACTGAGCAACAGATGTATTCATAAGACCCCAGCTGGTCTGACTGGACAAAGACCCAGACACAACCCAGGTGCACCCCCCATGGCTACTGTACATTTGCAGAGTGGACACCCATCACTGGCCACCAGCCCACAGAGACCTGGCTTTCATCCCTGCCCTACCCTGGGTTCTCCCTGTACCTTCCTGCTCTGAACCTGCATACAAGTGCTGTCCCATGGTGGGCCCATGTGGTGTGCTTCCTACAAAGATCTTGGGAGCACTGCTGGATGTAGGGGACAATCAGGGAACACTGTGCAGTGCTTACAGACAGATGTGCTGCGGTCATGCCGACACATGTGCACTGTACATACGTGGGCATGAAGGTATGTGCACTTATATGTCCATCTATGAGCACGTGTACACACAGGTTACATGTGGCTCGTGTGTGTGTATGATCGGGGTGTGAACTAAGTGTGCATGTTCACAAGTCCACCCTGCCAGCAAAACCTGAGGAAGGACCTGGAGGACCGTGCCACTGGAGTCCTGGACATGAGTGACCACCCCAGGGTCCTGAGACTCCAGAAGTGCCTCCCTGAAGGAGAAGGGTCCACAGGGTGGGCAAGGAAGGCTCTGCAGGGGGAGGCAATAGGTCCAGCATCTGAACCCCACAGCTGCCACCACCAGCCTCAGGCCAGGGCCACAGCCTGCAGATGCTCTCAGAAGGACAAGGACAAGATACAGATGAGGTGCCAGGTGTGTGCTGGGCAGGGAACATGGAGCAAGCCAGCACAGGGGCTGGGCCTGCCCCCAGGGCCTCCCAGGCTACCACGCTCCCCGAGCCTGTGGCTTCCTAGACCACCGGCACAGCAGGAACCCCCATGTGGCCACAGGGGCTGTTATTACCCCCACCTGGTCTCTGCTCCTGTCCCCATAACGACCAACTGGGCTGGTTTCAGCACTGTGGAGTTCTTCACATTGGCCAAGTGTCTCTAAAACCAGTTCAGAACAAGTTGTACCCAACTGAGGACATTCCAGAGCCGCCCCCTCTCTGTGTGCCCCAACTCTACCCTGAGGTTCCTGCACCCAGGGCTGCTGTGGTCCTCACCTAACCCTCCTGGTGTCTTGAAGCCTTGCTCCACCCTAGGCCCTTCCTGGACCACTGGCGGGGCCTACCCTTTCTATGTGCTCTTTACTGTGGGCCTGCCTGTCAGATGCCCCCTCTGAGCCTGGGCCACAGCCTGGGAGGGCTGGAGCCCTCCATGCCAGCCCCTGCCAGACCAGCCAGCACAACAGCAGCTGCCCTTCCCCAGGGAGGCTGCAGGAGGTCCTGTCTGTGTGGCCACACTGACAGGCTGGGCTGCTGGGCATGGTGCCAGCTGCACAAGGCTTGATGGCCCAGCTCACCCACGCTGCCACAGGGCTCTTCCCAGAAGCCCTGGCAGCAGATGAAAAGAGGAGCCAGGGCCCAGGTGGCAGTCGCTGCCTGTGGGTCAGCAAGGAGGGCGAGGGCACTGAGGCCTCCTTGCTGGCCCACAGTGTGACCTGCCATCCACAGACAACCTGGAAGGCAGCCTCGGAAGTTCAGAGATCACCAACAAGAAGTGGGAGCTGTGGGAGACATCAGATATCTAGGCACCACATGGCTTTGCTCTCCCCTCCTCCTGCAGACTGCTGAAGGAAAGGTGTCACCTGAATGCCTGTGGCACTTAACCCAAACACTGGGGTTTCAACTCCCTAGGCTGGAAAGCTGGGTTCCCAGGCCATGAGATGGTGCCCCAAGTTCCAGGACAGCTGGAGAGCAGGGGAAGAATTAGGAGGGAGCTCGCTTTTCCCCACGGAGCAGCATCCCCGTAAAGGCTGGCAGGCAGGCAAGCAGGTCCACCCAGACCTGCGCCCAACACTGCCACAGCTAGTCCGTCTCAGCAGGCAAGTGTGCTCAGGGAAGTAGACGGCGGGCAGCCAGGGAGGCTCTGCAGGACCCTAGCATGGACCAGCTTCCACAGGCCTGAGAGGGCCTGGATGCCTGGCCAGACATGGTCCCACCAATCCAGGAAAGCTCTGAACTGACCGAGAAGCCCCCAGGTCCCAGGATCTCCTGGGGGGCTGGCACAGGTTCCAGCTGGCTTCCTAGAACGAACAGAGACACATCTTTCTGGGGCTGACCCCCACTTCCCTCCCTCATCACTTTCCCTTAAATCAGGACTTCAGAGCTGGCTGGCTGGCGGGACCAAGGAGGGTGGGGGACCCGTGCGGGCCACCGAACAGCTCTAACAACTTTCTGGGCATTATCTACAGGGGTAAGACCCAGGCACACCATCCAGCTCCAATCCTGACGCTGACCCGTGTGCGGGCGGAAGGCGTTGCTCTGGGCCAAGGCCACGGGCTGCAGGCTCTGGGTCCCGTGGGGCGTGGCAGCCAAGGTGGGCCCCACTAACCCCTTCAAGGTGCAGAACGCCGGGCTTCGGAGACGTCCGCGCGCTTTGTCTGCGAGGCCTCGCAGTGGCCGGCCGCGCCCCGCCCCAGACAAAGAGCTCAGCTGGGGCAGGTGAGCGAGGGCCGGTCCTGATGCCGCCTCAGGCCGGGCGCAGACAAAGGCGCGCGCCCCCAGGGGCCGGCCCCGCCCCCGTGCCCCTCGTGGGCCGCTCCTCGCCGCCACGCGCGTCCCGGGCGCCAGACTGACCTCGCGGAGCACAGGTCCGGCCGCCGAGCGCCGTCAGCCTGGGCCGTCGAGGCGGCCGCTCTCCGCCCCGCTCAGCCGCAGCCCGGGCCCGATGCGCGCGGAGCACGCATGTCTGCCGCGCCGACGGGCCAGGGGTGCGGGGGCACGGGGCTACGGCCCGGCGCCGTCGGGGGCGGCGCGGCTGGCGGCGGGCGCGCTGCGGGCGGCGGACGCGGCGGCGGCGAACGCGGGCGGGGGGCGGGGCGCGGGCAGGCCCGACTAATCCAGCCCCGAGGCGCGGATCTGCGGCGTCCTGGCCACCTAGGGACCGCAGGTCCCCGGTTCGGGCGCAGAGCGCCACGGGGCCTGACTCTGTATCCTCTCGGCGACAAGTTATGCGCATCTGCCACCCGGCTTACGGAGGGCAAACTGAGTCCGGGAGGAGCTGGGTTTGAAGGGCCGACAGAACCCCCGGAGTCCAGGTCCTCAGGGACCTGCAGCCAGCCCGACTGCCGGGCCTGGGTTACTCCCACAAAGCAGGCTCCACGGAGTTGCTGCCGCTGCAGAGGGCTGCACAGCGCGCCCACCTGGCCACGCGGAGCTGCCTGTGGAGACTTCACAAGGTGGCCACAAAGAGATTCGAATGCGGATCCAACCACGGGCCCCAGGTGAAGGCCAAGTGTGAGTGCCACACAGACCCAGGCCCGCAGCGGGACCTCCCATGCCAGTGTACTAACATGCCAAAACCAGAATGCATGGAATTCCCATCTGCATAGCGCTAGAAAGAATATCAGGGGAGGGAAGTGGGGGGGACGTGCTGGACAGAGTGGACAGGGCCCTTGGGAGTCTAGCTCAGGCTCAGGACTTGAGATCAAGGAGGAGCCGGTCAGTCTTCTATTTCTGAGCATCCGTTCAACAGAAGGTGGGAGCCAGGTACAGAACCCTGTGCAGGCTGGGCTAGCATTTCCCTTTCAATAGGTGGCTGGACACGCACAAACCCAGCCCCGCCCCCCCCAATCTCCAAGGGCACAGAAGAGATTGCCAACCACGAAGACCTCTGGGTGGGGATTTTAAGCCCTTTTCTTCTGCTTGAGTTATTGCCTAAAAGCACATTCTGTCCTTACCAAATAATAAAACAAAACCACTCCCAAAGTCCTGCTGTCTCCTGCCATAAAAATCAACCCGTGCCTAAGCAGAGATAGAAGCCTGAGAGCCCCCAGCCCTGTGGCCCTGACAGCCATCCCACACACAGACAAATAAACAGCCTGCACCTGGCTGCAGAGCCCAGGGCTCAGCCAGGACAAGCCCCTCCTCTAGGAGGGGTGGCAGATATCTGCTTAGACCCTGGAACTCAGGGAGAGCTGCAGGAGCTTGGGCCTCCAGGGGGCTGTGAGGAGCCCCAGTGGTGAGGCCTGCAGGTGAGGGAATGGTAGGCTCACACACCCCAGCTGGTTTTGTCTTTCCTGGTTTGATGAGGTTGGAAATCAGAAGGAAATGGAGTTAAGATAGCCAGCGAGAGGGCCATGGAGAACACTAGTCGTCCACCACAGACGGCAACCACAGGGCCAGACAGTACACGCAAACAATAGGGGCACTGGGACTGTCCGGGGCACCCCAGACTCCATGTAGCCTGACAGTGCCTGGGTGCCCTGGGAGCCCAGCATGGTGCTGGGAGCACAGAGTAGGCCAGCCTGTTCCCTGGGCCGCTGCTGCTCTGCAGGAGACAGGCCACCAGCAAGGAGAGGCAGGGGCTGGATGTGAAGACCTGTGAAGGTGGCCATGTGAGTTGAGAGGTGCGTGCAACCTCTGCACACTAGAAGAGGCAGGGGCCTCAGTGGCCTGCCTTCCCCCTGCCCACCACATTGCCTACATGGCCACAGCCATGCTAGGAATGTGGTTCTGCCCAGGACTCTGTGGGGAGGGCGGCAGCCGCCAGACCCCTAGGGCAGAACTATGCTTGATGGTGACTGTGGAGAGGAGCAAGGCCTTGACTGACACCTGGGAGCTTGCTAACGAGCTGACCACACCGCTGGATGCACCCAACACCCCTGGCTGCAGCTTCTCTCCTTAGGACTGGAAAATGCAAGATCTGTGCAAAATGGCGGAGGAAAGTGCAAACTACGAGATGGGAGCAGTACCCCTGGACAGGCCGTGCAGGTCTTGGAGGGGTGAGAGGGCCCAGCGGAGTTGGAGCTCAGGGCCAGGAAGCTGTGGGCCACCAGGGCTGCCCGGCCTTCTGCACAAGTGGACATGAGGATGAAGACAAGTTGCCTGTTGGTTCCCATCCATGCCCACTCTGAACTTCAGAACAAGAACAAGGCCTCATATGGAAATAGGGTCTTTGAATGTGGTCAAGGGAAGGAGGCCACTGCTCCAGGGATGGGTGTCCTGGCAAGAGAAGAGATAGACATAGGGAGGAGCCATGGAAGGGCAGAGACTACGGCCAGGCGGTCACAAGCCCAAGGATGCCTGAGCTACCAGGAGCTGGAACACACAGGGAGGCTGCTCTGGGCTTGCAGAAGGACCTGGCTCTGAAGCACCTGACATGTGAGAGCATGAACTGCCCACAGGCACAGCACTCAGCCTGGAGCACTGTGAATGGCAGCCACGGGGTACTGATGAGCATCCACTCTGCCTCATTGGAAGATGCTCTTGTCCAAAATAAGGCACTGCTGCATGTCCACACCGCTGCAGGACGGTCAGGGTGTGAGACTGGATGAGCACGTGGCCCTCCTGCCTCACAGCTGCCCCGAGGGGGAGCCATCTTACTTCCTTGTTTCAGGCAAAGAAACAGGCTCGAAAAGTCTCTGGCAGTACAAGGTCACCTTCAGGACACAGTCAACCTGAGAGGGCTGAGAACAGCCAGAGTCCACAGCTGGGGCTGTCCTTGGCCTCAGGGAAGGTGACTGTGGACCAAGGACGTTCAGCTGCAGGTTGCCACCATGGAGACCAGTCAGACGGCAGTGGGGGCATGCTGGGGCCTGCCTGTGACAAGGCCTCTGTCCCACTCCAGCTGCTGGGATGGTCCAGCCCCTGCTGCTGCCTGGCACCAGGGGAAACCGGCAGGGGCTCTAGAGGGAGCATATGTTCCACTCAGCTTCTGGGGGAGCCAGGCCTGCTCCTCTGGAGAGGTGAGATGGGCCAGTACACCTGTGCTGTGGACAGCCACCACCAGGCCTGTCCCCTCCCACAGCTCTGAAGAGCCAGCAGGTAGGTTGCTGCCCGTGGAGCCCCCAGGGTGCCA